GTAGAGAGTGACCCAAGCATCAGTAGACTGTGACCCAAAAACCAGTAGACAGTGACCCCTAAACCAGTAGACAGTGACACCCAACACCAGCAGACAGTAAGTCCAACAACAGTAGACAGTAAGTCCAACAACAGTAGACAGTGACTAACGCCAGTAGACAGTGGCCCCAATACCAGTAGACAGTGACCACAACACCAGTAGACAGTGACCCCCAACACCAGTAGACAGTGAATCAAACACCAGACAGTGACCACCAACACCAGTAGACAGTAAGACCAACACCAGTAGACAGTGACCCCAACACTAGTAGACAATAACTCCAACACCAGTAGACAGTGAGTACAACACAAGTAGACAGTGACCCCTACACCAGTAGACAGTGACCCCAAAACCAATAGACAGTGACCCCAACACCAGTAGACAGTTACCCTAACACCAGTAGACAGTGACCCTAACACCAGTAGACAGTGACCCGAGCACCAGTAGACAGTGAGTCCAACACCAGTAGACAGTGACCCCAACACCATTAGACAGTGATCCCAACACCAGCAGACAGTTCCCCAAACATCAGTAGACTGTGACCCCAATACCAGTAGAGAATGACCCCAACACCAGTAGACAGTGACCCCCAACACCAGTAGACAGTGACTCAAAGATCAGTAGACAGTGACCCAATCAGTAGACAGTGACCCCAAAACCAATAGAGAGTAAGTCCAATACCAGCAGATAGTGATTCCAACACCAGTAGACAGTGACCCCAACACCAGTAGACAGTGAGCCCAATACCAGTAGACAGTGACCACAACACCAGTAGACAGTGACCCCAACACCAGAAGACAGTGACCCCAACACCAGTAGACAGTGACACCAAAACCAGTAGACAGTGACCCTAGCACCAGTAGACTGTGAGTCCCACACAAGTAGACAGTGACGCCAACAAGAGTAGGCTGTGACTCCAACACCTGTAGAGAGTGACCCCAACACAAGTAGACAGTGACCCCAACACCAGTAGACAGTGAGCCCAATACCAGTAGACAGTGACCCCAACACCAGTAGACAGTGAGCCCAATACCAGTAGACAGTGATCACAACACCAGTAGACAGTGACCCCAACACCAGTGGACAGTGACCCATCACCAGTTTACAGTGACCCCAACACCAGTAGACAGTTACCCAACACCAGTAGACAGTGACTCCAACACCAATAGATAGTGACCCCAACACCAGTTGACAGTGACCCCAACACCAGTTGACAGTGACCCCAACACCAGTAGACAGTGACTCCAACACCAGTAGACAGTGAATCCAACACCAGTAGACAGTGACCTCAACAACAGTAGACAGTGAGTCCAGCACCAGTAGACAGTGACCTCAACAAGAGTAGACAGTAACTCCAACACCAGTAGACAGTGACCCCAATACAAGTAGACAGTGACCCCAACACCAGTAAACAGTGACCCCAACACCAGTAGATAGTTACCCCAATACCAGTAGACATTGACTCCAACACCAGTTGAGAAGGTATGTTGAGAACATAAGAAAGAAGGAACACTGCAACAGGCCTACTGTCCCATGCGGAGCAGGTGCATGCCCCCCCCCCGGATTAGATCAATGACCCACCCCCGGATTATCCCAATGACCCACCGAGTCTGGTCACCTCCACTCAAGGAAGGAGCACGGCGCCAGACCCAGCAGCACAAGCAAGACAGGTCCAACTCACACCCACCCACACCCACTCATGTATTTATCTAACCTATGTTTAAAACTAAATAACGTTTTAGCCTCAATAACTGTACTCGGGAGTTTGTTCCACTCATCCACAACTCTATTACCAAACCAGTGCTTTCCTATATCCTTCCTCAATCTGAATTTTTTAAACTTGAAACCATTGCTGCCAGTCCTGTCTTGCCTGGAAATTTTCAGCACACTATTTACATCCCTTTCATTTATTCCAGTTTTCCATTTATACTCCACGATCATATCCCCCCTAATTCTACGCCTTTCTAGAGAGTGCAGATTCAGGGCCTCAGTCTATCCTCATCGGGAAGATTTCTGATACATGGGATCATCTTTGTCATCCTCCTCTGTACGTTTTCCAGAGCATTTATATCCATTCTGTAATACGGTGACCAGAACTGAGCAGCATAGTCTAAATGAGGCCTAACCAAGGATATATAGAGTTGAAGAACAACCTGAGGACTTCTATTATTAATACTTTTAGATATGAAGCCAAGAATTCTGTTAGCTTTGTTGCGAACACTAATGCACTGTTGTCTTGGTTTTAGATTACTGCTAACCAGAACTCCAAAATCCTTTTCGCAATCAGTAGTATTAAGATCTACATTATTTAGTTTATATGTGGCATGGTTATTTACCTGTTCAACATTTAGAACTTTGCATTTGTCAATATTAAACTGCATCTGCCACTTCTCCGACCATCGCATCTGTCTATTCAAATCATCCTGGAGTGCTCTAGTGGCTTCATTAGAATGAATTGGACGGCCTATTTTGTGCCATCAGCAAATTTGCTTATGTCGCTTTTATTCCCTCATCTATGTCGTTTATATAAATTGTGAACAACAGAAGGTATATTAAGTACAGAAGGTATATTAAGTACAGAAGGTATATTAAGTACAGAAGGTATATTAAGTACAGAAGGTATAATAAGTACAGAAGGTATATTAAGTACAGAAGGTATATTAAGTACAGAAGGTATATTAAGTACAGAAGGTATATTAAGTACAGAAGGTATATTAAGTACAGAAGGTATATTAATTAGAGAAGGTATATTAATTAGAGAAGGTATATTAAGTACAGAAGGTATATTAGTACAGAAGGTATATTAAGTTGAGAAGGTATATTAAGTACAGAAGGTATATTAAGTACAGAAAGTATATTAAGTACAGAAGGTATATTAAGTACAGAAGGTATATTAAGTACAGAAGGTATATTAAGTACAGAAGGTATATTAAGTACAGAAGGTATATTAAGTAGAAAAGGTATATTAAGTACAGAAAGTATATTAAGTACAGAAGGTATATTAAGTTGAGAAGGTATATTAAGCAGAGAAAGTATATTAAGTTGAGAAGGTATATTAAGTACAGAAGGTATATTAAGTACAGAAGGTATATTAAGTACAGAAGGTATATTAAGTTGAGAAGGTATATTTAGTACAGAATGTATATCAAGTACAGAAGGTATATTAAGTACAGAAGGTACATTAAGTAGAGAAGGTATATTAAGTAGAGAAGGTATATTAAGTACAGAAGGTATATTAAGTAGAGAAGGTATTTTAAGTACAGAAGGTATATCAAGCACAGAATGTATATTAAGTACAGTAGGTATATTTAGTACACTAGGTATATTAAGTACAGAAGGTATATCAAGCACAGAAGGTATATCAAGTACAGAAGGTGTATTAAGTACAGTAGGTATATTAAGTACAGTAGGTATATTAAGTACAGAAGGTATATTAGGTACAGAAGGTATATTAAGTACAGTAGGTATATTAAGTACAGAAGGTATATTAAGTTCAGTAGTAATTAAGTACAGTAGCTATATTTAAGTACAGAAGTATATTGGGTACAAAGGTATATTAAGTTACAGTAGGTATATTAAGTACAGTGTTATATAAGTACATTAGTATAAGTACAGAAGGTATATTAAGTACAGTAGGTATATTAAGTACAGTAGGTATATTAAGTACAGAAGGTATATTAAGTACAGAAGGTATATTAGGTACAGAAGGTATATTAAGTACAGTAGGTATATTAAGTACAGAAGGTATATTAAGTACAGTAGGTATATTAGGTACAGGAGGTATATTAAGTACAGTAGGTGTATTAGGTACAGAAGGTATATTAAGTACAGTAGGTATATTAAGTACATTAGGTATATTAAGTACAGTAGGTATATTAAGTACAGTAGGTATATTAAGTACAGAAGGTATATTAAGTACAGTAGGTATTTTAAAGGTAAGAAGGTATATTAAGTACAGTAGGTATATTAGGTACAGAAGGTATATTAAGTACATTAGGTATATTAAGTACATTAGGTATATTAAGTAAAAAAGGTATATTAAGTACAGTAGGTATATTAAGTACTGTAGAAGTAAGTACTAGTATAAAGTACAGAAGGTAATAAGTACTTATATATTAAGTACAGTAGTAAAAACATAGGTATATTAAGTACAGAAGGTTATTAAGGTAAAGAAGGTATATTAAGTACATTAGGTATATTTCATGGTATATTAAGTACAGAAGGTATATTAAGTACAGTAGGTATATTAAGTACTGAGAATATATAAAGTACATTAGGTATATTAAGTACAGAAGGTATATTAAGTACAGTAGGTATATTAAGTACTGTAGGTATATTAAGTACATTAGGTATATTAAGTACAGAAGGTATATTAAGTACAGTAGGTATATTAAGTACTGTAGGTATATTAAGTACAGAAGGTATATTAAGTACAGAAGGTATATTAGGTACAGAAGGTATATTAAGTACAGAAGGTATATTAGGTACAGAAGGTATATTAGGTACAGAAGGTATATTAAGTACAGAAGGTATATTAAGTACAGAAGGTATATTAGGTACAGAAGGTATATTAAGTACAGAAGGTATATTAAGTACAGTAGGTATATTAAGTACAGTAGGTATATTAAGTACTGTAGGTATATTAGTACATTAGGTATATTAAGTACAGAAGGTATATTAAGTACAGTAGGTATATTAAGTACTGTAGGTATATTAAGTACATTAGGTATATTAAGTACAGAAGGTATATTAAGTACTGTAGGTATATTAGTACATTAGGTATATTAAGTACAGAAGGTATATTAAGTACAGTAGGTATATTAAGTACTGTAGGTATATTAAGTACATTAGGTATATTAAGTACAGAAGGTATATTAGGTACAGAAGGTATATTAGGTACAGAAGGTATATTAGGTACAGAAGGTATATTAGGTACAGAAGGTATATTAGGTACAGAAGGTATATTAAGTACAGAAGGTATATTAAGTACAGAAGGTATATTAAGTACTGTAGGTATATTAAGTACATTAGGTATATTAAGTACAGAAGGTATATTAAGTACAGTAAGTATATTAAGTACAGAAGGTATATTAAGTACACAAGGTATATTAGGTACAGAAGGTATATTAGGTACAGAAGGTATATTAGGTACAGAAGGTATATTAGGTACATAGGTATATTAGTACAGAAGGTATATTAAGTACAGAAGGTATATTAGGTACAGAAGGTATATTAGGTACAGAAGGTATATTAGGTACAGAAGGTATATTAGGTACAGAAGGTATATTAAGTACAGAAGGTATATTAGGTACAGAAGGTATATTAGGTACAGAAGGTATATTAGGTACAGAAGGTATATTAGGTACAGAAGGTAATTATGTACAGAAGGTATATTAGGTACAGAAGGTATATTAGGTACAGAAGGTATATTAAGTACAGAAGGTATATTAGGTACAGAAGGTATATTAAGTACAGAAGGTATATTAGGTACATAAAGGTATATTAGGTACAGAAGGTATATTAGGTACAGAAGGTATATTAAGTACAGAAGGTATATTAAGTACATGAAGGTATATTAGTACAGAAGGTATATTAAAGGTACAGAAGGTATATTAGGTACAGAAGGTATATTAGGTACAGAAGGTATATTAAGTACAGAAGTATATAGGTACAGAAGTATATTAGGTACAGAAGGTATATTAGGTACAGAAGGTATATTAGTACAGAGGTATATTAGTACAGAAGGTATATTAGGTACAGAAGGTATATTAGGTACAGAAGGTATATTAAGTACAGAAGGTATATTAGTACAGAAGGTATATTAGGTACAGAAGGTATATTAAGTACAGAAGGTATTTTATACGAAGGTAATTAGGTACAGAAGGTATATTAGGTACAGAAGGTATATTAGGTACAGAAGGTATATTAGGTACAGAAGGTATATTAGGTACAGAAGGTATATTAGGTACAGAAGGTATATTAGTACAGAGGTATATTAGGTACAGAAGGTATATTAGGTACAGAAGGTATATTAAGTACAGAAGGTATATTAAGTACAGAAGGTATATTAAGTACAGAAGGTATATTAAGTACAGAAGGTATATTAAGTACAGAAGGTATTTTAAAGTACAGAAGGTATATTAAGTACAGAAGGTATATTAGGTACAGAAGGTATATTAAGTACAGAAGGTATATTAAGTACAGAAGGTATATTAGGTACAGAAGGTATAATTAGTAGGTTTTCCTGGTAAGGAAGAACCAACATATTCTGGCTTGAACTGTAAAATATATCTCTAACATTTTTACAGGATTTATCAATTAAGTATTTTGGGTAGTGTAGATCTTTAGCTATTTTATAAATTTTCAAGATTTCTTCATATATGAACTCTGGACAACAATACATGAAGCTCTGAAAAGTATACAATGCCCGTCACGGCATTATGCCGGGTGAGCGCCCCGACATAATGCTGTGAAGAAAATCAAAGGCCTACGATATTTGGGTCTTTTCTCGTCAGTGCATTCTGCTGGGTAGCAGCCTTTAGCATGACGTCACGGCGTGCCGCCACACTCCACAGTGACTCCTCAGTGTTTCTTTAACGCAGTTAAAGTACGAACAAATGTCTTCTTGGAATGGCCAGGCCGAGGTTTGGCAGACGGTAAGTCGACACTGCAACCATCCTTGAACCATGCACCCAGTTCCTTGCTGAATGCTCACACACATTAACATTCTCCATTATGTTTTTCGGCTGGTGTCCAGCTTTGTGAAGCTCTATGATTTGAGCTATATTTTCAAGTGGAAAAGACTTCCTTTTACCCATAATCAAAGATGTACTGCCCCAAAACCAAAGGGAACAATGGACAAAAGATGGGGCACATGAGAGGCTTAAGTGCAACACTTCCCCTCACCATGTAAGGAACGTGAGCAATAAGAAGTCACTGTGAAGTGTGGCGGCAGGCCGTGACGTCATGCTAACAGCTACTACCCAGCAGAATGCACTGACGAGAAAATACCCCCTTTCTGGGAGGCCTTTGATTTTCATCACAGTATTATGCTGGGGCACTCACCCGGCAAAATACCGTGACGAACACTGTAGATGACCTGGAGGTTACCTGGAGGTTATTCCGGAGATCAACGCCCCCGCGGCCCGGTCCATGACCAGGCCTCCTGATGGATCAGGGCCTGATCAACTAGGCTGTTACCGCTGGCCGCACGCAGTCCAACGTACGAGCCACAGCCCGGCAGATCCAGTAGGAACAATGTTTTGTTGATTTTCTGTGCATTTTGAATTTATAATCATTAATAAAAGACAATGAGTTACTTAATTCAAATTCAACATTAAAATTTATGGAGTGAGCTAGAATATTTAATTCAACGAGAAAATTGCTTATATCTATATTCTTAGACATTATATATAAAACTTGATGAATATATCTGCACCACTTTGCTCTATTGGGAAAGGTTTTGTTTAAGCAGTTTTGTTTCACAATATTCCATGTACAAACTGCTAAGGACAGGTGAGAGAGGATTTCCCATTGCCATACCAAACTTCTGAGTGTAAAACCCGTTATTAAACACGAATATTGTATCAACAATACAAAGTTTAACACTCTCAGTGATTGTAGGTACTGACAATGATAAATCTTAATTACAGAGTTCTTCAGATAGGGAACTTAATAAATTATTAACTGGAACTTTCGTAATCAAGTAAGTAACATCAATTATAACCATACTGTAATCAATTAAACTGGTCAAAGTGCTTAATATATCAACTAAGTCAATATTATTATTAACATTAAAGTTAGAAATTAAGTCAATTATTGGGTGTAACATCATTTAGCCATTTGTATGATTTATTGGAAATTGATCCTATAGAGCTAATAATGGGTCTGCCTGGATTACCTATTTTGTGTGTTTTTATTAATCCATTAATATATGGTAAAGATGGATTACTGGTCATGAATATTTTAATTAGTTTATTTTTGCCTGTCAGTAGTCGTTATATTGTTTCGGTAAAGTTACTTTTATCTGAAGCTGAGGGATTATTTCTAAGTTTGTAATATATATCTGTATCATCTAAGATTTTGTTTATTTTACCTTGGTAATCAATTTTCCTTTATAATTAATGTGCAGATATTTTTCCTGCTTTAGTAATATGCATATAATTATTAATAATAAGATTTTCAAGACTTGAGAATTCTTTGAGGACAAATGTGAACATTTTGTTTTATCATAGACCCATAAACTATCCCCTTACTTATATTAATTTCATTAATGGATAAATCAGTAATTTTTTCCAAGTCACCAAAAATTTTGTCAATTTGCACATTATTGACTTTAGAGGTTGTAAAACTTAGACTGGTTGTAAAACTTAGACTGGTTGTAAAACTTAGACTGGTTGTAAAACTTAGTTGTAAAACTTAGACTGGTTGTAAAACTTAGACTGGTTGTAAAACTTAGACTGGTTGTAAAACTTAGACTGGTTGTAAAACTTAGACTGGTTGTAAAACTTAGACTGGTTGTAAAACTTAGACTGGAACCTGGAGCAGCAGTTGTGCTCTTAACTGTCTCATTACACAAGCTAATTATATAGTTGCTATTAGCATGTTTAGCCCAGTCATTGTTTTTATTTACATTGTCTAATTTGCATTTTAGTTTATTTTTAAGTTCATTATGAACTCTTCTGAGTTTGTAAAGTAAAAGGACACAAGTGCAACTAATGTGACATTTATTGTGGCAACGTTTCGCTCTCCAGGAGCTTTATCAAGCCATTACAGTAATGGCTTGATAAAGCTCCTGGAGAGCGAAACGTTGCCACAATAAATGTCACATTAGTTGCACTTTTGTCCTTTTACTTTACATATTGTCGGTAATTCTACCAACTTTATTATCTTCTGAGTTTATTATAACAATGATCTATCACACTTTATTTCCATTATATTTCAGTAATTTGATTAAAATATTTTTTTTGCGTCTCAGTATTTTCCATGTCTCCTTTTAGTGATTTCATTATATTTCTGAAGAATAATTCTCATGAGATTATCAGAGTGAAGATATTTCATGTCAAAAAGTCTATTTGGTAAAATGGATTTGAGAGAAATTTGTTAATTCTGAAAAATTTAAAAAAATTATGTCGGATTTTGAACTTATGTGACTTTAATATTGCAGAAGATAACTGGAAGACAAAATAAGAACAGTAAAGTTTAGTGGGAACATTCTGAAGAGTCGTGTGATGAACAACATCACAGTAAAGTTTAGTGGGAACATTCTGAAGAGTCGTGTGATGAACAACATCACAGTAAAGTTTAGTGGGAACATTCTGAAGAGTCGTGTGATGAACAACATCACAGTAAAGTTTAGTGGGAACATTCTGAAGAGTCGTGTGATGAACAACATCACAGTAAAGTTTAGTGGGAACATTCTGAAGAGTCGTGTGATGAACAACATCACAGTAAAGTTTAGTGGGAACATTCTGAAGAGTCGTGTGATGAATAACATCACAGTAAAGTTTAGTGGGAACATTCTGAAGAGTCGTGTGATGAAAACATCACAGTAAGTTTAGTGGGAACATTCTGAAGAGTCGTGTGATGAACAACATCACAGTAAAGTTTAGTGGGAACATTCTGAAGAGACGTGTGATGAATAACATCACAGTAAAGTTTAGTGGGAACATTCTGAAGAGTCGTGTGATGAACAACATCACAGTAAAGTTTAGTGGGAACATTCTGAAGAGTCGTGTGATGAATAACATCACAGTAAAGTTTAGTGGGACATTCTGAAGAGTCGTGTGATGAATAACATCACAGTAAAGTTTAGTGGGGAAAATTCTGAAGAGTCGTGTGATGAACAACAAACACAGTAAAGTTTAGTGGGAACATTCTGAAGAGTCGTGTGATGAAAAAACATCACAGTAAAATTTAGTGGGAACATTCTGAAGAGTCGTTTTGATGAATAACATCACAGTAAAGTTTAGTGGGAACATTCTGAAGAGTCGTGTGATGAACAACATCACGGTAAAGTTTAGTGGGAACATTCTGAAGAGTCGTGTGATGAATAACATCACAGTAAAGTTTAGTGGGACCCTTCTGAAGAGTCGTGTGATGAATAACATCACAGTAAAGTTTAGTGGGAACATTCTGAAGAGTCGTGTGATGAACAACATCACAGTAAAGTTTAGTGGGACATTCTGAAGAGTCGTGTGATGAATAAAATCACAGTAAAGTTTAGTGGGAACATTCTGAAGAGTCGTGTGATGAAAACATCACAGTAAAGTTTAGTGGGAACATTCTGAAGAGTCGTGTGATGAACAACATCACAGTAAAGTTTAGTGGAACATTCTGAAGAGTCGTGTGATGAATAACATCACAGTAAAGTTTAGTGGGAACATTCTGAAGAGTCGTGTGAATGAACAACATCACAGTAAAGTTTAGTGGGAACATTCTGAAGAGTCGTGTGATGAATAACATCACAGTAAAGTTTAGTGGGAACATTCTGAAGAGTCGTGTGATGAATAACATCACAGTAAAGTTTAGTGGGAACATTCTGAAGAGTCGTGTGATGAATAACATCACAGTAAAGTTTAGTGGGAACATTCTGAAGAGTCGTGTGATGAATAACATCACAGTAAAGTTTAGTGGGAACATTCTGAAGAGTCGTGTGATGAACAACATCACAGTAAAGTTTAGTGGGAACATTCTGAAGAGTCGTGTGATGAACAACATCACAGTAAAGTTTAGTGGGAACATTCTGAAGAGTCGTGTGATGAAAACATCACAGTAAAGTTTAGTGGGAACATTCTGAAGAGTCGTGTGATGAATAACATCACAGTAAAGTTTAGTGGGGGAACATTCTGAAGAGTCGTGTGATGAACAACATCACAGTAAAGTTAAGTGGGAACATTCTGAAGAGTCGTTGTGATGAACACATCACAGTAAAGTTTAGTGGGAACATTCTGAAGAGTCGTGTGATGAATAACATCACAGTAAAGTTAGTGGGAACATTCTGAAGAGTCGTGTGATGAACAACATCACAGTAAAGTTTAGTGGGAACATTCTGAAGAGTCGGTGTGATGAACAACATCACAGTAAAGTTTAGTGGGAACATTCTGAAGAGTCGTGTGATGAACAACATCACAGTAAAGTTTAGTGGGAACATTCTGAAGAGTCGTGTGATGAACAACATCACAGTAAAGTTTAGTGGGAACATTCTGAAGAGTCGTGTGATGAATAACATCACAGTAAAGTTTAGTGGGAACATTCTGAAGAGTCGTGTGATGAATAACATCACAGTAAAGTTTAGTGGGAACATTCTGAAGAGTCGTGTGATGAACAACATCACAGTAAAGTTTAGTGGGAACATTCTGAAGAGTCGTGTGATGAATAACATCACAGTAAAGTTTAGTGGGAACATTCTGAAGAGTCGTGTGATGAATAACATCACAGTAAAGTTTAGTGGGAACATTCTGAAGAGTCGTGTGATGAACAACATCACAGTAAGTTTAGTGGGAACATTCTGAAGAGTCGTGTGATGAACAACATCACAGTAAAGTTTAGTGGGAACATTCTGAAGAGTCGTGTGATGAATAACATCACAGTAAAGTTTAGTGGGAACATTCTGAAGAGTCGTGTGATGAAAAAACATCACAGTAAAGTTTAGTGGGAACATTCTGAAGAGTCGTGTGATGAATAACATCACAGTAAAGTTTAGTGGGAACATTCTGAAGAGTCGTGTGATGAATAACATCACAGTAAAGTTTAGTGGGAACATTCTGAAGAGTCGTGTGATGAACAACATCACAGTAAAGTTTAGTGGGAACATTCTGAAGAGTCGTGTGATGAATAACATCACAGTAAAGTTTAGTGGGAACTTTCTGAAGAGTCGTGTGATGAATAACATCACAGTAAAGTTTAGTGGGAACATTCTGAAGAGTCGTGTGATGAATAACATCACAGTAAAATTTAGTGGGAACATTCTGAAGAGTCGTGTGATGAATAACATCACAGTAAAGTTTAGTGGGAACATTCTGAAGAGTCGTGTGATGAACAACATCACAGTAAAGTTTAGTGGGAACATTCTGAAGAGTCGTGTGATGAATAACATCACAGTAAAGTTTAGTGGGAACATTCTGAAGAGTCGTGTGATGAATAACATCACAGTAAAGTTTAGTGGGAACATTCTGAAGAGTCGTGTGATGAATAACATCACAGTAAATTTAGTGGGAACATTCTGAAGAGTCGTGTGATGAATAACATCACAGTAAGTTTAGTGGGAACATTCTGAAGAGTCGTGTGATGAACAACATCACAGTAAAGTTTAGGGGAACATTCTGAAGAGTCGTGTGATGAATAACATTTACAGTAAAGTTTAGTGGGAACATTCTGAAGAGTCGTGTGATGAATAACATCACAGTAAAGTTTAGTGGGAACATTCTGAAGAGTCGTGTGATGAACAACATCACAGTAAAGTTTAGTGGGAACATTCTGAAGAGTCGTGTGATGAATAACATCACAGTAAAGTTTAGTGGGAACATTCTGAAGAGTCGTGTGATGAATAACATCACAGTAAAGTTTAGTGGGAACATTCTGAAGAGTCGTGTGATGAATAAATCACAGTAAAGTTTAGTGGGAACATTCTGAAGTGTCGTGTGATGAATAACATCACAGTAAAGTTTAGTGGGAACATTCTGAAGAGTCGTGTGATAACAACATCACAGTAAAGTTTTGTGGGAACATTCTGAAGAGTCGTGTGATGAATAACATCACAGTAAAGTTTAGTGGGAACATTCTGAAGAGTCGTGTGATTTAACAACATCACAGTAAAGTTTAGTGGGGAACATTCTGAAGAGTCGTTGTGATGAACAACATCACAGTAAAGTTTAGTGGGAACATTCTGAAGAGTCGTGTGATGAACAACATCACAGTAAAGTTTAGTGGGAACATTCTGAAGAGTCGTGTGATGAATAACATCACAGTAAAGTTTAGTGGGAACATTTGAAGAGTCGTGGGGATGAATAACATCACAGTAAAGTTTAGTGGGAACATTCTGAAGAGTCGTGTGATGAACAACATCACAGTAAAATTTAGTGGGAACATTCTGAAGAGTCGTGTGATGAACAATCACAGTAAAGTTTAGTAGGAATTTCTGAAGTATCGTGGATGAATAACATCACAGTAAAGTTTAGTGGGAACATTCTGAAGAGTCGTGTGATGAATAACTCCAGTAAAGTTTGTGGGAACATTCTAAGAGTCGTGTGATGAACAACATCACAGTAAAGTTTAGTGGGAACATTCCCGAAGAGTCGTGTGATGATAACATCACAGTAAAGTTTAGTGGGAACATTCTGAAGAGTCGTGTTTATGATAACATTCACAGTAAAGTTTGTGGGAACATTCTGAAGCGTTGTGATGAATAAACCATCACAGTAAAGTTTAGTGGGAACATTCTGAAGAGTCGGTGTGGAAAACATCACAGTAAAATTTAGTGGGAACATTCTGAAGAGTCGTTGTGATGAATAACATCACAGTAAAGTTTTTGTGGAACATTCTGAATGAGTCGTGTGATGAACACATCACAGTAAAGTTTAGTGGGAACATTCTGAAGAGTCGTGGTTTTATGAATTAACATCCAGTAAAGTTTAGTGGGAACATTCTGAAGAGGTCGTGTGATGAACAACATCACAGTAAAGTTTAGTGGGAACATTCTGAAGAGTCGTGTGATGAATAACATCACAGTAAAGTTTAGTGGGAACATTCTGAAGAGTCGTGTTGATGAACAACATCACAGTAAAGTTTAGTGGGAACATTCTGAAGAGTCGTGTGATGAATAACATCACAGTAAAGTTTAGTGGGAACATTCTGAGAGTCGTGTGATGAACAACATCACAGTAAAGTTTAGTGGGAACATTCTGAAGAGTCGTGTGATGAATAACATCACAGTAAAGTTTAGTGGGAACATTCTGAAGAGTCGTGTGATGAA